GCTGAAGCTGAAGCTCCAATACTTTGGCCACCTGATGCAAAGAACTGACTCATTAGAAAAGACCCTGATGCTGGGAAAGATTGAAGGCAGGAGGAGAAGGGGACGACAGAGGCTGAGATGGTTGGATGGCATCACTGACTCGATGGACATGAGTTTGAGCAAGCTCCAGGAGTTGGTGATTGACTGGGAAACCTGGCGTGCTGCAGTCCATGGAGTTACAAAGAGCTGGGCATGACTGAGTGTCTGAACTGAAGATGCTCAGAAGAAAGTTATCTCAGGTTTCTGCACTCAGAGACCCTATAATCCTCTGGGCCACCCATACTGACAGATTTCCCTCAGGCTGCTCCCTTTACAACTCCCACCTCCTCCGTAGGGTTCCTCACCACTGGGGAAATCTGTTTCCTTCAAACAAACGGACAGTGCACCCAGGTTGTATCTGGCTTGGAAATAGCTTTTCCAGCCTCTGCCAGCTTGTCTTACCTTTCTTTTGCTTCTTTGTTGCTGTGTTTTCTTTGGTTTGGGTCCCAGGGGCAGTAGGTTAGATTACTTAAATGTCCACTGCCGGTGCCCTGCTCTCCACCATTCAAGACATTTTCTAGTCTTTGCAAGGATCTTTCTTGCTTTTTTATTTTCTTATCACCTTTTATCCTTTTGCCCATTCTTCTCTAACAAGTGGCAGTATGGATGTGCAACTTATTTGTGTGTCTCACGTGTGTGATTTTTAATTTACAAAATGCTGTTGGCTAAAAAAAAAAAAAAAATCACTTTTTGCCTAAACAAAACAAAACAAAACTCTTGGATGATTTGAGTCATAACTTCCAGTTACTGCATAAAAATCCTAATGTGTGCTTTCCCGCCTGTGCTCCCAGTAATAGACTTGTGGATTGACTCAGCCCAGCTATATAAACATCACTGCAACCAGCAGCTTTGCACATTAATTATCTTTGTAGTTATTTCTCTGGGCATGTCCCCACCCAGGAGCAGGAGAGCTGGATCATATGTTGTGTATTTGCTTAATTTGATCCTGTCTTGCCAAATTACTCTCCTAAAAGGCTACCCCCAGCCACTAATAACCCTAATGGGAAATTATCTTGTTCTCTACATTTTATTAACGTGCTTAGTATAAAGTGAGATAATATGATTGTTTTAATTTACATTTCTCCACTATGACTTTCAACAACTCTTTTTATGTTTCCTTCAGTTAATAGTCTGGTCATTTTCCTTGCTGATTTTTCAACCAGGGTTCTTTCTTTTCTTTTGCTGATTTGCTAGAGTCTCTTATTTAATCTAGATTATCAGTCCCTTATTGGCTTCAGGTATTGAATGTAATTTCTCCCAATCTATTAATTTTGCCCACCGTATTCTTTGTTGACTAAAAATCCTTTCTTTTGGAAAAACCAAACCCATCAATTCTTTTTTGCTTTATGTTTTATAACTTTGACCTTTCTCACCCTTATCCCATTAATATTGTCTTCTATTAAAGTTATTAATAGTTTTACTTTTTTTTAAGGGTTATTGTAAAACCATTAGAGAGTCCATCTTTCTATGTAATATCAGGTAAAGTACAGTGTTTCTTTTCCTTTGTGTCCTTAATAAGCCTGCTCTTTCTCACTGATTCATAACTCTTCTTCTGATATATTAAGTTCCTGAGGGTATGTTTCTGAGGACTCCTTTCTGTCCCATTGGTCTATTTTGTTTGTCCTTGCCCCACTATTTCTCCTTGAACCACAGGCGCTTTCTTTTACCAGGACTATTCAGAGTGCTTTCCCTAGCAGGGTAAGTCCTCCTTTTCTTTTCCAAATTTGTGCTACTCGTGGTCCTTTATTCCTCCGTATAAATTTTAGAGTAAGTTTATCAAATCCCAGAAAAGAAAAAGCTTAAATTTTGTTTAGAGTTGCAATGAAATTACTGATTTGGGGGGTAGAATTGACCTTTTGAATATTTGTAAGAACATAGAATGTCTCTCTGTGTATTACAATCTTTTCTCCTTTTCTCAGAGTTTCAAATTTTTTTCTTATAGAGGCTTTGTGAATTTTGTTGATACCTAAGCCTTTGACTGTGTGGATCATAATAAACTGTGGAAAATTCTGAAAGAGATGGGAATACCAGAACACCTGACCTGCCTCTTGAGAAATCTGTATGCAGGTCAGGAAGCAACAGTTAGAACTGGACATGGAACAGACTGGCTCCAAATTGGGAAAGGCTGTATATTGTCACCCTGCTTATTTAACTGATATGCAAAGTACATCATGCAAAATGTTGGCTGGATGAAGCACAAGCTGGAATCAAGATTGCCGGGAGAAAGATCTATAACCTCAGGTACACAGATGACATCACCTTTATGGCAGAAAGTGAAGACGAACTAAAGAGCCTCTTGATGAAAGTGAAAGAGGAGACTGAAAAAGTTGGCTTAAAGCTCAACATTCAGAAAACTAAGATCATGGCATCTGGTCCCATCACTTCATGGCAAATAGATGGGGAAACAGTGGCTGGCTTTGTTTTTTGGGGCTCACTGCAGATGGTGACTGCAGCCATGAAATTAAAAGA